ATTATTAAGAATCCTATTATTAAGTTAGATATTTTAATATTCCTTTTATTAATTTTATATTTAAGTAGTTTCTTAAGGTAATAAGTTCTTTTTTATTAAGGTTATAAATCTTTTAAAATAATAAGTTATTTATTTTAAGCTATATTTTATAATTCTAGTAGCTATATTATAATACCTTTATTTTAAGTTTTTCTTTAAATAGCTTTTTATAAATATAATATTCTTTTAAGATATTTTTAAGTTAGTCTTTTTATTTTTTTCTTTAAGTTATTTTTAATATTTTAATTATTTATTTAAGTTATATAGTTAATATCTAATAAGACCTAGGGCTTATTAATTTTATTATTTCTTACTTTTTATATACTTATATTATACTTCTTTTAAAGTAAATAAATTCTTTACTTTATATATACCTATATAATTATCTTTAATTAGGGTTTAAGATCTCTTATTATTTATTATAATTATTTTATTATTACTATTTAAGTTATTATTAAAAGTAACTTAGCTAATTAGCTAGTTAATATATAGGTTTACTTATCTAAGCTATAGTATATTAAGGATAATATCTATATCTAGTAATAAGGGAATAATATTTAGGTTTATTTCTTAATTTCTTCCTTAAATAAGGACCTTAAGGTAATTAACCTCTTAATCTATTATTCTATTATTATAGTTAAAAGGTTATCCCTCTATACTAATAATTAGGTATAGGATTTACTTTCTTTTCTATAATAATCTAAGCTCTATAACTAGGTCTAAATTAATAAAGTTATATTTAGCTTTATAATTAATTTAAGTATTTAGCTATCTCCTCTTAATTTAAACTTTTAATACTAGGCTATTAGGCTTGCTATTTTATATAGCTCCTAAAGCACTTATTAATCTAAGTTATTCTTATCTTTATACTTTATATATCTATAGCTTTATTATAAATAGTATTTCTTATTTCTTAATATATTTTAGTAAATTTATTTATAGTTACTATTATAGTATCTTTCTCTATTAATATAATTATTTTTAAATTCTTTATTATATAATAGCTATTAGAGGTATTTTTCTTATTCTATATCTTGCTTATCTAGTATAATTCCTTATCTAGATTATTTATTATTAACTATATCTTCTGTAATTATAATCTTATTAAGTTATTAGAGATTTATAAGGGTATTATATAGGTAGAGTTTATTAGTTTCCTACTAGTATACTAGCTCTTTAATAGCTTCTAAACTTATATTATTAACTAATAGTTCTTTTATTAAGTAGTTATATTATTTATTATTAATTTATTTTTAATACTCTTTTTTTTATTTTTAGTATTTTTTCTTTATTTTATTAATTTCTGCCTAGTTAAGTATTTCCTTAAAGTTAACTAAGTTAAAAATTCTTTTCTAAGTTATATTATCTTTATTTAATTTAAGTTCTTTTATTAATTTCTTTAAGTAGTTAAATTTTCCTTTAGTAATTACCTAAAATTCCTTTTTAGTATCTTTAATAAGTTTTTATAATTATTAAATCTCCTTATAAAGTTAATTTACTTTATAAGTCTATTAGTAATAGGCTATATTAAATTATAGCTCTACTACTCCTAGGTTTTTATATTATATATATATTAGATACTTTTTTATTTCCTTTATTAAGTAGGGTTTATTATTAGATATACTAAAGATAGTTACTAAAAAACAATTATTATTAAACTTCTCTTATTTATATATTTTATATTAATAGTATTTATAAAATAGCTATAAGATTACCTTATATTATTTATTTATTAAGAATATTTAAATATTATCTTATTTATTAAATTATTTTTCCTTATATAATAGGTTTATAGTATTATTAATATAATAGGCTTTAATATTTAAGAGTTTAATTATATTAGTATTTTTATATTTTCTAGCTTCTTATATATATCTTTCTTTTAGTAATATTTATATCCTATTTCCTACTTTATTAAATAGTAGTTTATAGGGTTATTTCTATTTTTATTTAAGGCATTTATCTTCCTTATAAAGGTATTATATAGTTACTTATTTTACTCCTCCTTTATATCTTATATTTTAGGAGTATTAATAGTAATAATTATAGATTCTAGCTCCTGCCTTTTATTTCTTATTAAAGATTATTTCTTTTTTCTAAAGTTTATTTACTATTATGGTTTTAGTAAGGATATTATTTATCTTATTAGTTAACTTGGCTTCCTTATTTATATTAGGGATAGTTACTATTCCTTATTATATTATTTTTAAAACTTCTAGTTATTATTATTTATTACCTTTTTTATCTTCTTTTTTTTATTATTATCTTTCCCTTTATTTCTATTAGAAGTATTTTTTTTATTTTAAGTCTTTTATTTTTTAATAATAATATTAGTTATTAATTTCTTTTTTATAAAGTTATTATTATTCTTTTTCTTTTTTTATAAGCTCCTTCTTTTCCTATCCTTTATAAGTCTTTATAAGTAGTTTTATAAAAGTTAATTTATAATATAGGATTATATTATATCTACTTTAAGTTATTTTTAATATTTAATTAGTCTAAGAGGTTATTTATCTTAGTTTTATTATTTAGGTTTTTATAATTTAAGGCATTATTATATTATATACTTAAATTAGTTATAATTATAATATTTATATTAAGATATATCTTATTATCCCTTACTGCCTTACTATATGGCTTTAAGTGCTATAGGCCTTACTTATGTTTTATATATGGTATTATTATAGTAATTACTATATTATTAGCCTTAGTTTTAAGAGTTACCTTAATTATTATTATATTATTAATTAGGGTAATATAGGTTAAAATTATTACCCCTTTTATAATTTACTTTCTCTTTTTTATATTTATATTATTATTTATTAATCTTAATTACTATAATAATATATATTATTAGGCCTTTTTTTAGTTTATTAGCTAAGTATAATTTATTTTTAACTTCTTCTTTTAATCCTCTATAATAAATTTCTATTAGGGCTTTATTATCTTATTTAGTTTTAGATATAAGCTATTTAAACTTAGTAAAGTAAGCTATATAAGACTTATATTATTTAAGTATAAGTAGTTTTATTATAGCTTATTATTTTTTATTTATTACTTTAAAGTTATCTTTAAGGACTTATTTAAAATTATCTTAGTTTTTAAAGATATTTTAAGTATCTTAATCTTATATATTTTCTTTATTCTTAAAGAAGTCTCTTAAGATAGGTTTAAATTAATCCTTTACTTCTCTTTAAATTAAGCTTATAATATATAAAAGTTTCTTTATAAAGGTATTTAGCTTATTCTTATAAAGGCAGAAGTAAGCCTTTATTTAAGTAAAGAATAGGATTATATTTACAGCCTGGCCTCTAAAAGGTTCTAGCTTAGGTAGCTTAAGTGCTTTTCTAAGGTCTTGTTTATTACTGCCTTTATTAGCTATTATAGTAAGATATATATTTACTTAAGCCTGCAGAATATAAATAGTATTATAAAGCTATTAAACTTTAGCTATTATCTTAGTAATATTAAGTAGTACTTTAGTATAAGGAGGTATTAGGCTAGTATTGTAATGGTTGCATAAGCCGTTAAGCCATAGGGCAAAAGATCGGGCCATAATCGCTATGCAAGCAATTATAGGTATGCTATAGCTGCCTTATAGAAGCCTTATAGCGCTATTATAGGCACGAATCGTAATAAGTATTATTAAATATCTTAATAATATAATATTACTTAGTTATTAAATATAATATATTTTAAATAAAAGCTATTAATATATAATAAAAAGGGTTTTAAATAAATAAGTTAATTTATATTAGGTTTAATATTTATAAAATTATAAGGTATTATATTAAGTAGTTATAAAGTATTATATCTCTTAATAGTAAATAAAGTAGGTTAAATATATTTAGGTAAAGAAGTCTTATTAATAGCTAGTAAGCTAAGTTTTATAAAAGTGCTAATAAATATAATTTATATATTAAGTATATTCTTTAGTAATTAGTAAGATTATTAAGGGATTAGTAATAATCTAAATAGATTAGTATTAATTATAATAAATTAGCTCTAATTATAAAGTCTTAATGCTAATTATCTTTAGTAAAGGGTATAGTAATTAGTGGAAAATGTAAGGTATATATAATAGAACTGCTAGGGTTATAATAATTACTTTTTAATTATTTAAAAAGCTTTTAAAAACTTATTAAAATAATTTAAATAGTTTTTTAAGTAAAAGGTTAATTTTAAAATTATTATATTTTAAATTAAAAGGCTAAAAATTATTATTATAGGCTTTTTTAAAAAAAAAAATAAATATATTAATAAGGTTATTAAATACCCTTAAAGGCAGGATATTAAAAATATAAGTATTTATATAATTAGGTATCTTTTAAAAGCTTATTATTTTAATTAAAATATAATAAGGTTAATTTATATAAGGATTTTAATAATTTTAGCTATATTAAATAAAGAAGATATTTTATAAAAACTTTATATATCTTGCCGGTACTAGCGGGGTTAGTAAGCAAAGTGGGGCGAGTGACCTACTGTAGTCTTGTGCCACTTAAAGAGATAGACTTAGGGCTATTAAATGATATATAAATAAAGCTATTCTGATAATTAATTGCTGTTTAATTGCAGAGTGAAGTAATATATTAAAGTTAGTGGTGTCGTTAGTGGGGCCGGGTGATTCCAGACTTTTGGCCCTTCATTTTAGTCTTATGCCGCTCAAAGAGATAGAGGGTAAGTCTCGTGAAGGATTGAATTACAGGCGGCTGAAGCCAGCAACACTACAAAGTGGATCAATTGAGTGAAAGACAACATCACGAATTATCAAGAGCCTGGCACTGTCTGATTTCACGAGTTTGCTTCGTTGAATCGGTAGATAATGTCAAGGGTAACAGTGGATTTGGCAGGAAAAACAACCGTCTTTGAGGCTGAGAATAGGCCCGACACCACATAGTCAAATAATGATTTGATAAAGTTCGTCACCCGTAGTGATATGTCATAGTTACGCGTTTATCGTCGCAGGCTTGCATTGCGCACTGTTATGTGGCCTTTGTACCATGCACCATTTCAAAATCCGATAAAGTTTGTGGTCAGCTATAGATTGGACTATCAGTCCAAGCCACCCGAACTGGGTAGATATTGGTGGTGTGCCGCCACAAATACAGTGCATTCATTCAGCCAATAACATATCCTCTTATCACATCACATGTGAATTTCCAACTGAGACAAGATATTAAATATACCTAATCGTGATTAAAACCATTCAAAGGACCCTCAGCACACTCCAGAGGATACTTAGCAACAGCAGCTAACACCCCACCATCTTCCATCCCTCCATCTGTCTTTTGTCTTGGTTCTAAAGTGTTATTAAGAAGAAGCCTTTCCCATAGAGGGCTAACTCACCAAATACAAAGACCACAACAGCCTGATTACCATGCCCACCCAGAGTTTGCACCTTGAAATTGGGGATAGCAGAGGCAGCGCTAAACTTATTCACACCAACATACGGCACGCTCCACGAAAATGTCACTTCGTTTCTTGGTCCGAATCCGACGATACGGTACGTAATTGAACCTTCGACCCCTCCGCCCAAGTGGTTCGATTTGCAGCGCAATATGCCGCTCTCACCGGCGAGTATTGTTTGCGGTGGTGGAAGGTCTGCGTCTTTTATGAATTGGCCGTGGACAAGAGTTGGCCATTCAAGTTCGGTGTTGAGTTCTTCATTGGTATGGTTTAGAATCACCACGAGAAGCTCCCGGGAGGCCATGGTGCTGAGGGTTTTCAAAGTATGATTATAAGAGGAGCGATTGTCCAAGGGTAGATAACAGCTATCGACAGTTTCAGTATTTTCTATTAAAACATCAGCCGTAGAAGAAAGGAGGGGCCTACTATAGTTTGTCGTATTGCGTTTGAGGATGCCGAGATTGAACTTGAGGGGTTTGCAACCTCAATGTTGAAGATTCTGGCTACACCTCCCTAATGATACATATATATTCTTTTGGTTGCAGCCCTTGAATAACCAACATATCGGATAATCAGGGATGCTTTCCGGTCCAGCCCCTGGCCACGATTTCATCCAATCTCCCTTCCCCTTGCTAATCTGCAAAAGATGTGTCAGATCATGCTACTAATGGAACTCGCAGCAAACATGTGACAGGCAATCACTAACGGTAGAGTGAGGGGTACCTATTGGTGGCCGACCTGGGCTTCTGGAGACAATTTGTGACTGGACTTTCAAAGCTTGTACAGTGGGGTGCAATAAGTTTGAATACATCTGCAGGTATCTCGGTCCGGCCTAACCCGATCGGGACCGCGTTTTCGATGCCGCTCTTTCTTCCTCCTCCACACATACATCACAACGCCTGACAACGCCTCACGATACCTCGAGGCAAGGAACTTACGCCTTTATTACAGTTATAAATATATAAATTAAAAAAGCAGGGCTATTCTTATAATCAAATTTATAAGCATTTCCCTTATATCCCTCTTAGGATAATTAAAATAATATACCGCTGCAAGGCGTAATATAAAGCCGAGAACATAACCCTGCCATAGTTAGGCATGCCTTGAAAGCTTATAGAAGAGTAATATAATTAGATATATAATACTATTATAACTAATCTATATATAATAATAAGAGACTTACTTAATTTTATTAATAATATTATTAAGAAGTATTCCTTATTATACCTTCTATATAAGATAAATAAGAGGAAATAAATATAAAAGAAATATATAGTCCTAATACTACTATAAGCTTATAAAAGGCTTAATTAGGCTATATAATATTAAGAAATTAATTAGAAAAGGGTTAAATAAAGTAATAAGTATATAATATATTATAGTTAAGACATAAGGCCTATCTAGACCTTCCTCTTACCTTATAAGGCCCTATATATATAAGATATTTAAGAAGCTAGGAGGCTAGGAGCTATATAGCAGATGTTTTAGGCTGCCTTTAATTATAGGTTTTATATATTATTAATGCCTCTTATTAGTACTATTAATATTATTAGCATCTATAAGCTATATAGCTTTATCTTGCCCTAGTTCTTTTAATTAGGCAATATCTTTATATATAATAACGCCTCTATATATATAGCCTAGATTATTAAGACCTTATTAAAAGAGCTAGGGGTTTACCTAATAACTTAGCTACCTTATTTGCCTAACCTGAATCCTATAGAGAATCTATAGGTATTAATAAAGACAGAGATATATTAGTTATATCTAGAACTGACTTATATAGAGGATATAATTACTATATAATATGCCTTAGTCTTAGCTGCAATAGAGGCTTAGAATAATATTAAAGATAAGGTCTTGAAGAACCTTTATAAGACCATGCTGAACCAATGTTACTGCTGTAATTACTACAGAAGGTTAGTATACAAAGTACTAAAGCTGTTCTAATTAACCTTGTTAGGTTAAAATTACAATATCACAGCAGCAGCATAACAGCTGCCCGTTTCGGCTAGCCTCGATCGTCGGTACCTCTTGGTGTATTCAAACTTATTGCACCCCACTGTATGCATAATATCCTATCAGCTATGATGTGCTATGACTCACCAAGATATGAATTTAAGTCTTCAAGCAAGTCTAATTACGCGTTGCAGCGTCGTATCCGTTCGGAAGAGGAGGTACTTTAGATTCTATACCTTAGAAGAAACCCTTGAGCTGGGGTTTAGACTCCCGAGGGAACTTTTGTCGTAACGGCAGAAACCGACCATCTTTTAACGCTTACACACCAACTTTCATTTATCCTTGCAGGCCATTAGTATTGGCATCGGTCGGCAAGATTGAGAAAACGTTAGTTGCAAAGACTATTATCCCCAGGCAGCCCAATGGCTAACACAATACCCCGTGCCAAGCAGGCTTTTCTCGTTGTGACGGAAAGACTGTGTATTGGTGTAAAGGTTGATGAATTAAATAGCCTATCAGTCACAGGTGCAATCGAATGGGAGAATTGATATACTATTCGCCGTAAAATGGTGAGATTACCACGTGCAGTCCTAACAGCACCAAATCCATGTCGTCTTTAAGGTAGCTAACACTGAAAACCTCAGCATCACGATCCATGACTGAATCTACTCAGCTTTGAGATTTAATCTTGAGAGTGTCTTTTCGTGCCGAAGGGCTACACAAGAAACAGCTCGCCATGGCCCCCCTCGATGAGGAATGCTCTAATCAACATTTGCACTCCGGCACAGGCAGTGCTACTACGCACACAGAAAAGATACATAATGGCGACGTTTCACATGAGCCCAGGTAGGTCTCCTGCGTGAGTAAATAGCTGGTGATAAATAAATAGACTGCCACTAACACAGGCCTCTCTTATTTGTTCCAGCCGTTGGTGGTTCCTCTCAACAGCATTCCCTATGATCGCTGGCACTTTGGGCCCAGTTGCTTCAGCGTTTAGTATATGTTCATTAGCTGAGCCGTGGCGACAGAGCCTTATCCCTGGGGGAGATATAGAGGACGCCGTGGATGTTCCGGATCCTTCATGGTAATTTTTTGATGAAATCAGATTGTTAATCTTTCTAATGCTCTAATCTAGGTTATTGATCATCGAGGCTATCCAGCTCTTAGTCGGTATCATTGCGAATCTCTTCCTTCTTCTCAACATGGCGAGGCGTGTCCGTTTCGGTCTAGCTCTGCCTATCACGATAGTTGGATGGTATGAGGAACATGTGATATCTGGTTTATTGCTGATTTTAGGCAAACAGGTATACCTCTTCAATCTGTCGTATCGCTCTAAACGCTACTATCGCTCGGCCTTTCAAAGACAAAGGAGTATTTAATGAAGACACCATTTGGTCTCAATCCTTCTACTATGGAATGTTTGCAGCCATACTCTATTTTGCCGATGCGTCACTCCTTACTATCACTTTTTGGGGCGCTTGTACGCATCGCTATCGCAAGGACCTGCTACTAACCATTAGTCAACGCACCCTCATGCTTCAGAGCATCTTACTCCTGATATACCTCCTTCTTGGTGCCTATATCTTCTCTGAGCTTGAGTCCTGGAAATACCTCGATGCTGTATATTGGACAGTTGTTACGCTTTTTACCGTTGGCTTTGGGGACTATTACCCTACCTCTGCCCTGGGGAGAGGACTCTTGATACCGTTTGCCCTAGCTGGGATTATTTCTCTGGGCTTGGTCATCAGCTCAGTTAGGAGCTTGATCCTTGAGAATGGGAGGAGATGCATTGGGGCGAGGATAGACAATAGGAAGCGAGACAAGTTTATCAGGAAGATGCTCCTCAAATGCGACATTAACACGCTGGACCCTATCTATCAAGACTTGCAGACGCCACACGCAAGCTCGGCCGAATTACAACAACGCGAGTTTGAACGCCGCAGAGCTGAATTTCAGTTAATGCGAAGAATTCAGGCCAAGTCTTCCACACACAGAAAATGGGTAGCCATGGCCATTTCGACGTTCTTATGGCTCCTTTTATGGTTAGTAGGCGCTTTCATCTTCCAAAAGGCTGAACAGGCCTACCAAGGCTGGGAATACTTTGATGCGGTGTATTTCTGCTTCGAGGCCTGGACGACTATTGGATACGGGGATTTAGCTCCAGTGTCTAATCTCGGAAGATCGTTCTATGTGTTTTGGTCTCTCCTTGCTCTGCCGACCATGACGATCCTTATATCGAATGCGAGTGATACTGTGGTTAGGATTGTGCGAGATGGGACTATTCTCATTGGAAGTGTTACAATTTTGCCTAATGATCGGGGATTTGTTAGGAATATGAAGAGTCTTGTTAGCAAAATTACATTTGGCAAGATCTTCAGAGACCACAGCACTGGGTCTGATGGTACAGCGGCGTCCTCGAAAGCCATTCATCAACAATTGCCTACCGATCAACCTCCTTTCGTGATAACGCATTCACGGAGCATTCAACCTCATGCGCGTTTCGCCTCCTGTTTGCAGAATAATTTTGAGAATCTTCCCCCAGGGGCCGATTTACAATTTCTTTTAATGTCCGAGATTCGTGTCATTATTGACCACCTCAAAGAGTCCAAGCCTCACCACTATACTTTCGACCAGTGGGCCTGGTATCTCAAGCTTATTGGAGAAGATGAGCATAACCCAAGAACACACTGTAGAGTTGACCAGCAGAAAGATGGCCATAACGTCTCAGAAAAATGGTCGTGGATTGGGAATCTGAGTCCTTTGATAAGTAGCAAGGGAGAAAGTGAATGGATTCTGGGAAGGCTGATGGATAAGCTTCAGTTGTTAATGGAAGAGAACAGAGGGCACGGGGGTGAGTTCGATTCCGGAGGTACAGCGTGTTGAGGAAGGTAACAGAGACGGATATACTGTGAAGCTACGAACAATGCACTAAGAAGACTAATATCATAGTTACAATCTTGAGCTGTAAAGACCCGATGCCAGATTGGCCATTTAAACGCCTGTATGGTGTCCATTCCTTCGAAATACTTCTTGGACTCTCTTAATCCCCGCACCCCAAAGGGCTAATCTGAACAGTGCGTAAAGCAAAAATGTAGCAGCAATATTGAAAACGACGTAAGCAAAGCCAAGCGCCCAATCCCTCCATCTGTCGTGATAATACATACCAGAACGAGCCAAGATCTGATCGGTATCTTGAAGAGGACAATAAGAACAATCAGTCGTAGCCTCAGGATTGAGCAGCGTTCCTAATGCACCCTGCTCAATGTATTGCTGCATGTATGATCCACAGGTCTCACCAGTTGGAGGTTGAAAGATAGCAAGCTCAGAGTCGGAGCAAATGATTGTATCACCTGCAAGCCCCGTAACAGAAACCCCGCCAACAAGATAGGTCATAGGAGAAACGCGATACATGAATATCCAGAAACCAGGTAGAGCAGTCGGGGTTTGGAAAACACCAGCGAACAGAATCATCATAGAGAATAGGACTGTTGTCACGCGACCAGCAGTCGTCGCATCAGGCAACG